ACATAAGAATGACATTATCTGGTGATGGAAATTCTAGAATCAAGAAGTTTGTCATGATTGTAGCCTATCATGGCGTTGTCCCAGTTGTAACTGGTATGACATTAGACCCAATGGGATGGGCCATTTCTCTTAAAAACTGATAAGTGGTGCGGTTATAGGAACCATCTTGTCTTTACCAATGTTTAGTCTATCGAAGGTCGAGGCAAATATGATATTTACTGAGCTTCCGATATCAATTAAGACCCTTTTTACTATGTAGTTGTCGATCGTTAAGGTGACCACCAATGGATAATCATACGGGTGTTGAACTCCTCTCAGAACTTCTTCGAAAAAGGTGATTGGAGGTTTTATTTAGGATTTCTGGTGTACAAAGCTCACCTCCAACTCACCTAATTTTGCTCTTTGTGTTTGAACTCATTTAGTAGAGCTGTTCTCTCTACCTCCTGCAAACCCTTCGGAAATCATCGAAACCTCTTCAACAAGCTGTTGATGTTGTACCCCATTACGGGGAGGCTAGGCTTCACTACTTTCTTGAGGGTGGCACTTTATGAGCCTCCTTAGATGGCCTTTCCGGATCAAATATTCAATCTGGTCTTTCAAGACCTGACAATTGTTTGCGTTGTGGCCATGATCTCGGTGAAAATGATAGTATTTGTCCCTAGACCTCCTATTGGGAGGAGTTTTCATCTTCCAAGGCCATCTAAGCATTCTCTCATCATGTATTTGGTAGAGGATTTGCTCCACATAGGTGTTCAAAGGGGTGTAACGCTAAAATGGCTCATTGGTGTGCGGACCCAATCGATCCCTTTCACTTACCCTTTCGGTGCGATTCTTCTTGGGACTACTTGCATTTTCCTTCTTGGCTACAATATCTTGTCTTCTCTTACCATCTCTCTTTTCTTCTTGATTTTTTTCGAGCTAGGAGAGCATCCTCGGCATTCATGTAGCATTGTTCTCTCACCAAGAGCTCGGGCCTGGAGGAAGGTGGCTCTTTTAAAAGAGAAAATAGGAACTGAGAAGACTAGAGGCTTGACAAGAAAGTAGTTAAGGCCACCTAGTCATCAACATTGTCAATCTGTAATGACTCTGTTGTGACATAGTTTACGTATTCTCGAAGTGTTTCATCTTGAATTGCTTTATATTGAGAAGATAGGTCGGAGGTCATCTGTGAGCATAGGCTCTGATGAAATGCAATCGAAAGGATGTGTTCAACTCTCCAAACGTGTTGATCGAGCTCGGTTTCAGTTTGTTAAATCAATGCCTCGCTTTCTCTTTGAGTGACGTAACAAAGGCTTGACTTATAATTTGGTCTGGTATGCAATGCAGCATCATTATAGACCTATAAGTCTCAGTGTGGTCCAATGGATCCTTGGTTCCATCAAACACCTCCATGGAACCTCTCTGGGATAGGGTAATTTGCCACATCTTGTGAAAATGATGACTTGGTGTGCTGAACCAGAGCCACAATAGCTTCTAGGACTCAGGCTTTCACTGTATTTATGACGTTTCCTATTTTTTCATTTTCTTCCTAAAACATTCCCTCCCATTGATCATCATTCTGAGGGTGGGACACATCTACTGTATTGATAAGAGACTTTTGAGTGCTAATATTGAAAGAATTTAAGGAAATCATTACTAAAGAGAATCTAGATCCTAACAAAACACTATCTTGGTTTGCCCAAGACAATAAGCCTTTGTGCTCGTTTGATTTACAAGAACCAACAATTTTAAAACCATAGTGTAATACCCAAGATAAAAAAAATGAAATAACAATAATACTAATAAAAATAAAAATGAATAAATTGGATTTGAAAAGTTTTAGAGTTTTGTTTGGCTTGAGGTCTTTCCTTATGAGCTTGTGGATATGATTTGAAAATCAATGAAGATAATTTAGTTTTTTTGGTCTAGGGGAAAATATAATATAATTATATAGACCTATTAGGACTATTATACATGTAGTTTAAATAGGGAAGTATTATTGGATAGGTCAAACCCTTCGTATATATATAAATGTATTTAGGTTTGTAGAATTTTTTTATTGGTGAGAAGGTTTGTGGAGGGACTGTCCCGTGAACAAAGAAGAAGAAGAAGAAGGAGAGAGAGAGAGAGAGAGAGAGAGAGAGATAAGGAAAAGGAAGAGGAAAGAAAGAAAGGATTTAAATCCAGTAAAGGTATGGATTTGTTACTTAATTTATAGATTTTGTATTTTATTCAATCACATAGTGTTATATATATATATATATATAAGATTCTAATTTAAGTGTTTTAGACCTAATTTAGATTGGTTAGTCTTGAAGTTTTAAGGAATTAAATCAATGTGCAAAAAGGAAAAAAAAACAAGAAAGTAAGTACTGGTTCTAGGTTCCACCATTGGAAGAAGAAGACCAAATCTAAAAATTATAGAAAGCTCCCTTTAGTTTCAAAGAGTTTTATTTTGACTCATTTATTCTTCTAAACTTAATTTTAAGTACCTTTTTACTTGGTAAGTTGTAAGAACAGATTTTTGGAAAGTTTATGACAATCCCTAAAACAGAAAATTTGTTTTTTAAAAAATTACACTTTGACCCCAAAAGTTTTAAAATTATGATTTGACCTCAAAATTTTAGAAACTGTTTTCTAAGCAGTCTAAAATACTTTCATATCCTATTAACTCGTAGTAGAAAGGATATTTATATGTAAAAGATATATTAAGTATATATCAATAGGTAGGAAATATAAAAATTAAATATAGAATCGCGAAATGACGAAATTAGGAATAGGAATTGATTGTTATATGTTATTTTGGATTAGGTAGTGATTGTATTGAGGTTGAGAAAGAGTGCTTTGAATTAAATTTAGGGAATCAAGGTGAGTAGTTTACTACTTCTATTGGAAGGATTTTCTATATTAAATATGTGGGTGTGTGCGGGTGAATTTTTCATATATATGATATATATGTTGATGTTTGGGGTTGCAATTAAATATTTTATAATGGTGAACTATTATACTTGTGAATTTTGAAAAACTTGTAGCATGATTTTATATCATTGCTTAAATGTGTTTTAGTGATGAAAGAGAAATTTTGTGTTCGTTTGGACTAAAACTACAATTTTGGTGTGAGTGAAAATCATGTTTATGAGATGGGGACTGTGTTACCAGGTCTAAATGGTAACAAGATTGTATGCCGGCGTGGTCGGTATATGGATATGTACATAAAGGCCAGTTATCAGGCTAGTGATGACAAGAGACGAGGCCAGTTATCAGGCTAGTGGTAATAAAAGACGGGATCAATCATCAGGCTAGTGATGACAAGAGATGAGGCCAGTTATCAGGCTAGTGATAACAAACATGATTTAATAAATGTATTTGAAAATGAATGTGTGTGTGAGTGTTTTGGGTTATAAATGTCTTTTCATTTATAAAGTTATTTGTAAAAATGAGTGATACTCTAAGTTATAAATGTCTTTTCATTTATAAAATTATTTGTGATCATGAAATCATTTTTTTAAAGATTATGTGAGAGGGGTGGGGGTACAATTTATTGTAGTTATATGTATCAAAGTTTATTTTTTTATATAAACTGTGAGATTTATTTTTACACCTCATTAGAGGTGGTTGCTATTCACGGGTCTTTGTGCTCATCCAAACATTTAATATTTTTCCAATGAGAATCAGGGGGAGGAGTAAGTCCCCAGATAAATAAAAAATTAGAAAAATTAAAAATTTATTTTATTGTAGGTCTTCAGGAATAAATATTTTTTATGGTCTTGAGACAAATATTTAATTGTTTTGGGAGCAATATTGCTTAGGTTTAGAGTAGTGAATCTTATGATTTAATTATTGTTTTACATAGATTTAGTAATGATGTTGATGTTTAGTTTATTCATCTAGTATTCATTAGGTCGGTGGAATGAATCACTTGATTATTTGTCTTCTGCTGTATTTTGTATTTATTATGCACCGAGTTAGTCGGTTAAGACCTTAGTGGCTGATCCGTCGCCCACCCTATGCGATCCGGGGTGGGGGTGTGACACATAAGGAATCCGTACTGTCAACTTTACGTAATATCAAAGTTTGATTTTTTTAGAATGATAGTAAAAAATTTAATAAATAAATCACCCTTACTGTCGCTCTACGGAACCATACATGACATTTTCACCTCATAATACTCATTCAATTCCTTCAAAGTCATTAGATCTTTTTCTGGCATTCGAGAGGAAAAACGAAATAGATGCCGTAGTGACATTAGAATGGAATAAAAAGGGATTAGACATTCAACATCCGATGTTTTACATGCATAATTTCTTCCAGAGACGGAATTAAAATTTATTAAACTGACCACAATACCCCCCACACTGCTAATAATATCAGCTATAAACTCCACTTGTAAGGTTCCTACAAGACTGCATTTTTATTTTGTTTTGGTTATGTAACTTTGACTTGAGTAAATAAATTTAAATGTCCTAAAAAGCCATGGATCATATCAAGAAGAATTTAATTCAAAGTGGCATTTTTAGGACATTGCAACTAAATAATATTAAGCTTAGGTGAAGATCGGATCATATCATTGTTATGTAAAAAAATGGTATACAACCAACTGGACCAAGTACAACGAAATGTAATGAGGAACATGGAAATAATTCAAAAGCAGAAACTATGAATCCATGCATAAACAATCAAAAAAGTGAAGCTGTGCAAAGGAAATAATTTTGACAAAATAACTAACTCTAGCAAAGACTTACCCAACACACCACAATCTAGTAAAAAACATAGCCAGAAAAAACAAACATATGGGCATATGATATTCTATAAGCAACCCCAGTACACTACAACAATATACAACACAACACCACCACATAATTAAGTAGCATTAAACATACTCTACGAAAGGAAGGATGAAATTCATGAGCACCCTAGAAACAAGCATAAACAATATGTTCACCCAGGAAACCAAGATTTGTCAAATCATAATAAAGTTATTAATTAAAGCAAGTATTTCTTTGCCTTCTTCCCTTGCCTGATCAAATTCGGAAAACATCCGTCTGGAATCGCTCATCATACAACCTCCAGTGGCCATACCTGTCAGTGTGAAAGACTGACCTAGGGATATAGAAATTGGGCTTCTTGATATTAATCAAATTCTTTAAATTAGACGTGGCATTTGCAATATCACGGCTAGTCACGTTTGCACAACCAGATAGGTCCAAATATTCGAGGTTCAAACACCGCTCAGAAATTAAAGCAAGCCCTTTGGCTGATAACTTGGAAAACCGAAGTTCAAGATGCAGTAACTGTGGCATAAATTTTCCAATTGCAGCAGCGTCTGAATCTCCATCTTGAGGACAGGCATTCAGATATTCAGTTGGGACAATTACATGTTGGGAAGGATCCAACCAATTCATCAGGTTCCTTTTCAGAATTTTGAGGTTAGGACAGTGCCTTCCAATCAAAGCCAAAGACTCATGAGATATTTCATAGCAATAGCTAATGTCAAGTTCCCTAAGCTTGGGGCACCCATGACCAATGTTAATCATGGAATCATCTGTAACATTAGGGCTGCTCTTAATAGAGAGAACTTGAAGGTTTGAGCACCTGTAAAAGAAGTAATACAAAATCAATTTTGATCATTCAAGTACTAAAAATTCATGGTAAAAACCCATTTTCAACTCTAAAACCAAAAAAAAAAAAAAATTGCTTTAAGGAAATAAAAAAGGTCAGAAGACATTCAAATATCATAATCAATTAAGAATTCAAACCAGAAATACCAGCTGCAAGATTAAGTGGTGTATCTCTTGTCATGTCACCCCCTAACGGCAAACATTGGATTCAAGTCCCACGGAAGGCACGGGTGCAAGTACAATTAGGGAAAAACTAATCATATCTTCCTTAATCTTATCTCAACATCCAACAAGAAATGAAGAAAAAGAGTATCAAACCTGAAATATGTTGTGCAAAATAAAAAGAAAAAAAAACAATTTCACAGGTCAAAGTTAAAAAAAAAAACTTACAACAATAAACAAAAAAGTTTTACGCCAATGAAAACAGGATAAAGAAGTTTTATCTTTCAAGCCTAACTCAAACACACAACAATCAATGTCCTGCTTTAGAAACTTCTTTCATTATACATATCCTATCTCAGTCATACAAAGCCTGTTAGGATCATAATCCATGGTAAAATTTCTACCCCTAACCCTATCACACAAAAAGATGGCTTAAAACAACCAAACAATTCAAAACTCACTTCCCCTATTCAAGCCAGCTCTACCATACAAAAACCAGTCCATTGATCAGTGCAACCAATGGTACGATCTAAACATGAAATATGCAATTAATTCAAATCCAACAATACCATAAATCAATCAATTGCAAAAACTGAATCCTGAAAAACCCAGCTAAAGCAGAACCCATTTTTATCATCCAAAAACTAAGCCAGTCTTTGATAACCCAAAGCACCACTTAAGATTGAAAATATCTTCCATTTTCTAAATTAAGTGTTTTTGACAACCAAAACACACATCCCTTAAAAAATAAAGAATCTCTTAAAGATAGAATAAATTTGTAAGTAGTAATCTCTTACTTATAATTGAATGCTAAATATGATCAATGACTTAAGATTTTCTAAACTTTCACGATATACCAATTTTTCCTCAAATAAGTTAGTCCCATACCATTTTAAACCCCAACTTTCCACCACTGACCAACAACATCACCTCACCACCTGACCTCCCAAACCCAACACCCCCACCATTACCCCCAACCATTGCCGCCGCTGCCACAATTACCATAACCCCCCCACCCCCCCCCCCCCCACCCCACAGCTGCCAAAACCACGTCACCATCGCGACAGCGGACATGGTGGCAGTAGTTGGTGTAAGAGCTGGTGATTGTGACAATGATGGTGTCTAACATGGTAGCATCAATTGTGAGGTGGTGGAAGTGGTCAAGGGAAGGACAATTAAAAAAAATGATGATAGTTTCTTGAACTAGTCAAATAGTTTGATCAAATTCAGTCTTAAATTTCAGTACATTTTAAACAATCTTCAGATTAAAATTTTGGCATTCACATTAAAAAATAAATTCTGTGCTTAATTCTCAGCTTTATCAAAAAAACCAAAGCATACAAAATTATAACAAAATTCAATAATTGGATGTCTTAAAAAAAAACAGAAATTCAGAACCGTTTACAGTGACCCAGAAATGAACCCAAACCATGTAATGATCGATTGCAAAAGTCCAACCTTTCAAAGCAATCCAAACAACATTCACATTCAACCATCAAAAACCTAACCTTACAACAACAATCAATTGAAAGAATTCAGATCCAAAAATCAATTACAATAATTCAGATACAAAAATCAATAACAAGAATTCAAATACACAAATCAATTACAAGAATTCAGACTTGATGATGGAAAGAAAAACAAATCTAATTTCCATTCATCCAACACCTAACCCTACATAGAAAACAATCACAACAAAATCCAAACTTTGAAGAAATCCAAACAATATAAAACCCATTCCACATCATCCAAAAGACAACCCTACTAATAGATAACCATTTCCTAAAATCCAGACCATGGTTACCATAATTCACTCAACCACTGACGATCCACGATTTGGGTACACCGATCTCAAATGGGTTGTGTTCGCAATCCAGATCACAAAAATGAACGACCCCAATTTATAATACTACCCCTAAATCAATTCGCTTTAGAACATATAGCACAAATATAAAATATATATTAATTGACTACATGTATATAGATTTATAATTATATATTTTTTTAGTTAATAGAAAATCAAGCACAACTATAAGATAAATAGTAATTGACTTAGTATTTATGAATATTCTGTGATATATAATGTTGTATAGTAGTGAAAACGATCTACATAAGAGTTCTAAAACGAATTGCAATCTAAAATACTATATCATCTATGCCTACTCACATCGTATCGCGTACCTAAGAAGTGTCGTACCATGTACCCGTACCCGTACCACGTACCAAAGTGACCATGATTCAAGGAACATTGATCCAAACAAGAAAAAAGCAATTAAAGCATAACCATTTTAAAATATCCAAAACCAAACAAAACCCGAGGCAACAAAATTTGCATCAGAGGAGAAAATCAAGCATTCTATACAATTGATTGGCTCATCAGTAGCAAGGATCATGCAGCAGTGAATGGATAGCAGAATTGTAGGAGGCAATAAATGAGTAAAGTAATGGTAGACATTTGGAGTGAATTGCATGTAGTTAGGAGCAGACAATCCTCTGCTGTCAGCATTTATTGGGCTCTTTGGGGAAGAAGGGCATCACAAAATTTGACTCTCTTGAATTGTATCAACAAAGGGTTCTCCCCCAAAAGAGGGAATTTGCTTAAACGTTGTATTCTTCTTCTTGGTCTTATCAGTGGTATCAGCACTGTTCCTGCCCTTTATCAACAATAATGGCGGAAGGGACTAGGACGCAAGAGGTAAAGCGCATGGAGGAGAGTATCCACTTTCTGAAGGAAAACTCTGACCGTCAAGCTGCGGACATGAAGGACCTAAAACAGCTAGTTATTGTCATGAATATCTGGCATGAATAGCTTGCTACCCAACTTCTGCTAACTTATGCGTCAGGGAACTTATCCGTTGTCTCTGTGACTCAATCTGGAAGGTGGCAGAATTCTGCCCGTGAAGCTATTCAAACTAAATATGCCCGTTTGGATTTTCCTTATCTCAATGGTGAAAATCTCAATAGTTGGGTGTTCCATTGCGAGAGAGTTTAGAAGAGGAGGACCAAGTCTACGTAGCATCGCTTCACCTTGAAGGACCAGCAGTTGAGTGGTTTCAAAGCTATGAGACTGCAAAGCCTCATGTCACATGGAAGGTCTTCACAAAGGATTTGTGCCTGCGTTTCGGTCAAGGGCAAGGGCCTTATGATAATGCAATTGGCCATCTAACAAAACTAAGACAAATTAGCACCATAAGCATGGTTCAAGGTCGCGGTATCAACCCTTGATTCGGGAACAACTGAGACACATCGGTCACCCAAGGGCAGAGCCAGAAACTATTCAGAGTGGGGGCAACTTACAACTATTTCAATATTATTTTTCTTTTAGGAAATTCTCCATAATTAATTCAAATTCAATATGTTTGGTTTGACTCAAACTCCATAATTTTTTTCTTTTTGAACACAAACTCAATAATTTATCATAGAGTTTTTAACAACTTATTAGGATTAGAAGTATTCATTTAATAGACAACCTTAACTGAAATAATTTAGAAAAAAATCTATTTGTCACAACTTCATTAAAACTTAGATATAAGAATACTTTGATTAATCACAGATAAATAATTAAAGCCCAATTGTTCAAATAATTTAATTAAAAATATAATTCATGATAGATAGATTCTAATATATAGTACAATTAAACTAAAAAATCATTTGAAATAATTTGAATTTTAATGTATAATTCTTGCATTCTAATTTCAATTTCTAATATTATAATTTCTAAGTTCAAACTCCAATTTTATACAATTTCAAATATCAAGATCCAATTTCAATTCACATTAACAAAAATAATAGAGGGGAGGAGACAAAAAGAAGCAAGAAAAATAGAGCATTGACTAAGAAAATTAAGTTGAGGAGAATGATCGACAAAGAATCACTAAAACTCATTGCAACAATAATCGACTAAGCATAGTGTTGTTGGTTACTATTGATTCTATCAACTAGTAGGTGAATGAGTCAACCCTTACTAAAGGTCACAATAGATTACTTATAAGGTGGTTGCTCATTTATTATTGATATGTTATTCAAATAATGTAATAGCTAATTATTTATATTGTAATAGAGATTTATTGATATTTATAAAAAAATCTCATTTTAATATTTTTAATTTAAGTCATATGAGGAAAGTGTAAGTCTAATTTTCCTTTTTTATGAAAGAATACCACTTATCTAAAATATAAATTAGCAATAACAATAAATGTATTTAATTTAGAAACTTAATTTAAAAATCTAATCAATTGTTGTCATTAGATTAACACGTACCAAAATGGCCGGATAGATGAGATTACAACGACCCGTAAATATGATTTGATTGAGTTCTGGATAATCAGGAATCATATCTTTGTTTTTACTAGAAAAATCTGACCTAAAAAATTTGTGTCTTACTTGATTATTAGATACTGAGGGGTTAAAAATATATCAGGATCTCGTTAAATATTGGGATCCACTAATAATCGAATGATAAAAATGATTTAATTTCCCCAATTAGATTCTAATAATGTTACTCTGATAAAATAATTTTTTTATAAAATTTTTAGTGGGTGCAAAGGGCAAATTTTGAAATTTTTGAAATTTTAAATAACATCCAAAATTTTTCAAAATCCTAGTGGGGCCAACTGCCCCCATGCTGAATCCGTCCAAGGTCGCGTCATCGTCTTGGCCGATATGCTCAAAACACAATATAGAAGGCTCAAAAATTTTTGAAAAAAATAAAAATAAATTGTATTAAATGTAAACATCATCATTCATGGATTATATCTCCAAAATGCATTATTTAACACATTAATCATTGCATAAAGGAATAAAAAAGGCGTTATCGAAAAATATTTGTCATCATCTATGTTCAATATAAGTATTTAAAACCATACTAAATCAAAAGCATTGACATGTTGAATAGTGATGAGACTCGAAATCATTATTAGTGTCTCCTTGTTCTTGATAATTATACAAGTTCGGTAAATGATTCCCATTACAAGGATATGGATACAAATATGACTGCCCTTCTAGTTGTGAACCTGATAAAATAATATATGAGAGATTAAGATTTATTGAGGCCAAGAATAACACGATTTGTCACTAAATTCGTTGTCGTCGAAAGTCTTATCCGTTACAAATTTGACTTGAAAAGAATGTGCACCACAAATGAATGGCGTGATTACAACAAATAGTAGTGGTTATTATGGTCATCGCTCAACACGTCATGAGATACCTACTAGTACAAGCACTGTGGCTACTATGATCGTGTACATGGAGATGTAATCATGGATCTTCTACCACATCTATAAGCGGTATAAACTGTTACAGTTCTTACCGATAAGACCAATCTTCTACTAATAGTGGCTATGAATATCGGGGTTTTGGTTACTATCAACATTGGGCCGAGCAAGCACAACCTCCACAATCATCTTACTCTAGTTATGGATCATCTAACCAATCATCTCAACCAACACAATAAGAAGGGTAAACATATTTATAACTATATCTTTCTAGTGGAAATAACTTATCGAACTTGTATAATTATCAAGAATAAGGAGACACTAATAATAATTTTGAGCCTCATTGTCATTTAACATGGCAATGATTTTAACTTAGTATAGTTTTGAATGTTTACACTGAACATAGATGATGACA